ATGGCAAGTGGATTCAAATTAGAGCTAAATTCTTGGTAGTATATAGAAAAATAAGCCACTGATGGGCCATAGCTTATGTACGTAAGAGATGTATATATAATTGGACCTTTTTTCACCGCAAAAAGTATAAAAAAAAGAGTGAGATACATCAACTAAAATTCTTTATTTTTCCATTTCAACATAATGTCATTTATATAAGCCCTTCACCATGCATGATCTTCCTGCATCTCTAAGAGTGCAAAAATCTAAACACAAGAACAAATTATGGTGTCCTCTTCTGCTCACTTCTTGTTTTTTACTGTCTTGATAGTTTTTTTCTTTCAACCATGTTTCCAACATTCATTGTGTCGGAGAGATGAGCGCCTTGCCTTGTTACAATTCAAGGAAAGCTTTGTTGTTGATAAGCATGCTTCTTTTGATGATCCATTTGCTTATCCTAAAGCCAATTTCTGGAAATCCCAAGGGAAGGATTGCTGCTTTTGGGAAGGCATACAGTGTGATCAAGACATTGGTCATGTTATAAGCCTTGATCTCAGTAGCAGCTATCTTTTTGGTTCTATCAACTTCAATAGTAGCCTCTTCCACCTCATTCACCTCCAACACCTTAATCTTGCCTTCAATGACTTCAATTATTCTAAGATTCCATCTGCTTTTTCTAATCTTACAAGTTTAACTTATCTTAACCTCTCTAACTCTTTTTTTGTGGGACAGATTCCATTTGAACTCTCAAGACTTACTAGCTTATCTACCCTTGAGCTAGTTCCCAATTATGAGGGAGGGTTAGAACTAAAAATGCCAAACTTGAGAATCCTAGTGGAAAATTTGACAAGCCTAGAATACCTTCACCTCTCTGGCACCAAAATAAATTCTAGAATTCCTACTACCTTAGCAAATATGTCCTCCTTGAGGTCTATCGATCTTAGTGATTGTGGATTGTTTGGAGAGTTCCCAATGGCAATTTTCCAACTACCAAAACTTCAAGTCCTTATTGTGAGTTTCAACGTAGGTCTTATGGGTAATTTGCCTGAGTTTCAGTTTCACAACCAGCTTACGACTCTTGAAATTCAGAACACAAAATTTTCTGGTAAGTTACCTGCTTCAATTGGAATGCTTAGCTCTTTGGAGGTTTTGTCTATTGATAATTGCAACTTCTCAGGCTTATTACCACCTTCTCTAGGTAATCTTACCAAGCTCCAGGGCTTGCAATGTTATAATAATAAGCTCAGTGGTATAGTCGAGATTGACCCATTTCTTAAGCTCAAACACTTAGAAGCTTTGTCCTTTTCTCGAAACAATATTTTGTTGCTAATAAAAACTAGGGAGAGTGCCAACACCACTACTAGAAAGTTAAGATCTCTTGAACTTGGTTCTTGTAGTCTAAAAGAGTTTCCAAGCTTCTTGCATAACCTGGACCAACTAGAAATCCTTGACCTTTCTTCCAATGACATTGGTGGCAAGATACCAAAATGGATATGGACATTCAGTAAAAGTTTGTCATTTTTGGACCTTTCCCATAACTCATTGACAAACTTTGAAAAATTTTTAAATGCCTTTCCTTCATCTACTCTAGATTATTTAGACCTTAGTTTTAACAAGCTTAAAGCTTCACTACCAATCCCTCCATTTTCCATTAGTTTCTTTTTAGTTTCTGAAAATAAATTTAGTGGAGGCATCCCACCTGAATTTTGCAACTTGACTTCCCTCCAATTTCTAGATTTGTCTCATAATAACCTGAATGGAATGATACCACCATGTATTGGCAACTTTAGTAAATCCTTGGCTATTTTGAATTTGCAAGGAAACAACTTTAAAGGTCCAATTCCTCCAACTTGGGTAGATGGAAACAATCTAAAGCTGATTAAACTAGGACAAAATAATTTGAAGGGGAAGCTACCGAGATCATTGGCAAACTGTAGAATGTTGGAGTTTTTTGATGTTGGTAACAATCATATTAGAGATACCTTCCCTTATTGGTTGGGAACTCTTCTTAGATTGAAGATTCTCATTTTGCATTTCAATAGGTTCTATGGTGCAATTAATGGTTCAGAGTCGGATTCCTTATTTCCTAATCTTCGGATTGTTGATCTTTCTCATAATGGATTTGTTGGTCTTCTACCAACAAAATACTTCGAGAGGTGGAGTGCCATGGTAGATGCTGATAGGGAGAACACAAAATACTGGGAGGCATATGACAATTATGAATGGAACAACATCATGTTACTCCCTTCATATCATTACTCAATGACAATAACAAACAAAGGAGTGAAGATGGAATATGCACAGGTACTAGAGATTTTCTCGGCCATTGATCTTTCTTGCAACAAATTTGAGGGAGAGATTCCAGATGTGGTAGGGATCTTAAAGGGACTTGAACTGCTTAACCTTTCCAATAACATCCTTGTTGGTCCAATCCCACCAACCTTGGGAAATCTCAAAAATCTTGAAGCTCTAGACCTTTCTCAAAACAAGCTCACAGGTAGCATTCCCACACAGCTAACACTGCTCAATTTCCTTGCAGTCTTCAATATCTCGCATAACCATTTGGTAGGACCTATTCCAAAAGGGCAGCAATTTGATACATTTGATAACAGCTCATTTGATGGGAATTTAGGGCTATGTGGATTGCCACTGTCAAGGAAATGCGAGAACTCCAAGGCCTTGCCTCCTCCATTTTCAACCTCTAACGGAAATGAAGACTATGGCTTGCTAACTGAGTTTGGTTGGAAAACAGTGGCGTTGGGCTATGGATGTGGATTCCTTGTTGGTGTTGTGATGGGAAACATTGTTTTTGCAAGAACACGTGAGTGGTTGATGAGGATTTACCAAACCAGGCTATCAAGGGGGTGAAGGATGAGGAGGATCCAGTGAAGATGAATGTTTATCTGTTGGTGGTAGCCTTTGGTTATGTATTTCT